TCAACTCCCAGAATTCTGGGAGTTGAAGTCCACTCATCTTAAAGTGGCCAAGTTTGGACAACACTGGGATAAGGTGTTGTACTAGGGCCAAAGAGACACATAGGTTCAAGTCCATTCTCATCCATGAAAATTCACCAGATGTTTTTGGGATAGTCACTCCCTCTCAGCCCAACCTACCTTACAAGGTTGTTACTGTAGGGATAAATTGAAGGGAGATCCCTAGGTAAGCTACCTCATCTTCTTCGCGGAATAACCACCATACCTGGCTGCTTTAGAAAGAGTTTAGATTTGAAATTCCTATGCAATCCAAAGCTCATTTTCTGAACTGAATTTGAAGTGCTGCACATTCCTATTCCCCTGGTCCAGTCCTGTTCAGCTTTGTTCAGCTCTAACCTAGGTCAGCTAATTGGTGCTGTATGACAGCAGAATGAAGTCTAAACTAGAATATCATAGTATATATATATAATTATAGGAAGCATATATGCCTTCCAGTAACAAAAATAGTAGCTCTTCAGATAAAACAATTCTAGCTTAGCCACTTTTTTTGCAAACATGACCTTTTTTTTATATGCCAAGTGTTTTGTAAGGCAGTGACTAGAACTTACTGACAGAAGTGGTGACACCGATGTGACTCCTTCACAATAAATACCCCATCCTCATTTCATTTCATTTCATTTCATTTCATTTCATTTCATTTCATGCAAAGTGGGAATATATGCTTCTGTCTCACTGAATCCCTAGGGGCCACTGGTGTTAGGGTTGACTGGGGGCTGGAAATGTTGCTGTCCCATTCTGTTCCCTTGGACCTGTCTTTCGAAAACTGCATCCCCCACCCTGGCTGTTAAATGTAATCAAATTAACATTTTAAACAACTTGTTTGCAAAAACTAAAAAGGCTAGATAACACCCTTGAATAAATTATTTTGAGAAGTCAAGCTGAAAAAGGGTTTGGGGCTAATAAGAATAGCTAATAATAATTAATACTAATTAATAGTTAAGAATTCAGTTTCCTTTGCATTGGGCCTGACTTGAATTAGAGCTTGTACCTCACCTCCACTTGATCCTCACCACCTATAAGCTAGCCCTAAATCCCCAAAGCCTTATCCTTCTTTCTTTGGGGAGAAAGAACAACAGTTCCTGAAGGGCTCCACTCTAGATAAGAGCTGCAAGTCATCAATTGTTTGCTGTTGGGAAGATGCTCCAATGAGTCTCTCTAGTGCAATTGAGAGCCTCTCCTCATGGATTAGATTCTCCCCTTTCTCCAGTATCCCACTGAGAAACTCAGGGCAGAATGTGAGCACCACAGCAAGTGCTTTGACTACTGTCATCATGCCTAGAACTCACTGCGTATGCATATTTAATAAGAAGCAGGACTCACTAAGTTCAATGTTTTTTTTTCCTTCCTAGCGTTTTCCCACAGGTGTGCTCCCTATTAAATGAGTTTATATTAGAATCTTACATTTTTTTATATAGATAATGAGTATCACATGAAAACATATTCCAAAACACTGATTGTTTTTGATTGATTATGTGCAATCAAGTCATTGTTGACTCTTAGCAACCACATAGATATTCTCCATGATTTAAATTACTAATCACTATTGATACATAATAACAGTATTGTAAGAAATACTGCACACTCATATTTTAAAAGGTATCACTTCAATTATATTCATATTAAGTCTTTTTCCCAATTACATGAATATATTCTCATTCCCAGAACTCAATTGTCTTCTCTTCCTTGCATGAAAAAAATCACATTTGTATGATACTACAGGCTGCAATCCCACCCACAATTTTATATATACTTTTAAATGTATCAGACTTGTCATAAGAAATACTATGGGCAAATTTTTAAAATGCCCAGCAAAAAACTTAACTGAGGCATGAAAAACATTTGAGCATTTGAAATTTAACTGAGCTTTTATCTTCACCTTGATATTTTTATAATGCTTTCAAAGTGTTTTCCTTATTTTATTTTTTTTTCAAAACATCCCTGCTAAAATCTATGTATACAAATGTTAAGTGTGTGTGTGTGTGTATCCTTTATCCTCCAAAAGTTGCCCCTGAATTGAAGGAAAAATAATTAAATACATAGAGAACATATAGTTTAATTAGTTCAATTTTAAAATAAAAATTAAATTAAATTAAATTAAGTGTTTATGCCCTGCTTTTTGTAGTGCCCTTATGACATCATTCAGTGGGGCCTTCATTCCCAAAAAATAGGGTACCCTTGCTGAATATAAATAGATTGCTTGGTCTGACTGTTAAATATTTGCATAGGTAAATTCCAGAGCTCAGATCTACTTTCTCCAAAAATATGAGAAATTTCCTAAGCTGTGATTCATATGGACTATATAATTGAAAAATCACAACATTTGCTCTAATTGCATTAGTTTCTATAATCTTCAGGTAATATGATATAATTGTTTTGGGAACTCAACATATTCCTGCTAACATAACTGATACAACCTACATGAGAAGAAAATAGGCAAAGGAAAATAGAATGGGAAACTTTATGTGACAATTTGCTAAATCAAAACTGTATCAGGTATATGTAGACTCACAGATTGTCACTTTATGCTAGAATCAACACCACTTAATTCATTCTAAATGTGTCCAGTCTTGCCCTCATTACCAAGCATAGGAACAGCTAAAACATTCATACTGCACTACCATCAGCCAGTAATTTTCTATGAACGTATCAGGAACAAACTGAAATCAAACCCTTGAAGACCAATACATTATATGGCCATTCTCAAAGCGAGAAGAAAATGGAACTTTGTCAGGCATTCCAATTCACTCCTATTCAATGCAATTTTATTGCATTAAAATGAAACAAACCATTGCCTCCTGTACTAGATATACC